AGAATTTAAGATACATATAAGCGAATTACTAGAAAAAAGGTATATACATGAAAGCAATAGCAAGCATCAAGCCCAGCATTTATAGTAAATAAACATGGTGAGCAAAAAAGAGGAAAAAGTAGAATGATTATTGATTATAGAAATTTAAATGCAAAAACTAAAACATATAATTATCCAATACCAAATAAAATATTAAAGATAAGACAAATACAAAGATATAATTACTTTAGTAAATTTGACTGCAAATCAGAATTTTACCACTTAAAGTTAGAAGAGGAATCTAAAAACTTACAGCATTTACAGTACCACAAGGATTTTATCAATGGAATATATTACCATTTGGATATAAAAATGCACCAGGTAGATATCAACACTTTATGGATAACTATTTTAAACAACTAGAAAATTGTGTAGTATATATTGATGATATATTACTATATTCCAAAACACAAGATGAACATATAAGATTATTAGAAAAAATTATACATATTATAGAATATTCAGGCATAAATCTAAGCAAAAAGAAAACAGACATAATGAAAAAGCAAATAGAATTTATAGGAATACAAATAGATAAAAATGAAATAAAAATGCAAACACATATAGTACAAAAAATAATTAACTCAAATGAATAACTAGATACAAAAAAGAAATTACAATCATTTCTAAGACTAGTAAATCAAGTAAGAGAATACATACCAAAATTAGCAGGAAATTTAAAACTATTACAACAAAAATCAAAGAAAGATGTAGAATACCAGTTTGATAAAAAAGACCAAACACAAATACAAAAAATAAAACTATTATGTAAGAACCTACCTAACTATATTTTCCGGATGAAAACAAAAAATTTACTTATATAGTAGAATCAGACGCCAGTGAAAAAAGTTATGGAGGAGTCTTAAAATACAGCTATGATGAAGAAAAAATAGAACATCATTGCAGATATTATTTAGGAACATTTACTAATACGGAAATAAAATGGGAAATAAATAGGAAAGAATTATATTCAGTGTATAAATGTCTACTATCATTTGAATCATATATTGTATATAGCAAATTTATTATAAGGACAGATAACACACAAGTAAAATGATGGCTAACAAGAAAAATACAAGATTCAGTAACTACAAAAGAAATGAGAAAATTGGTATTAAATATATTAAATTTTACATTTACTATTGAAGTAATAAAAACTGATAAGAATGTTATTGCAGATTACTTATCAAGACAAAGCTACTCAGACTGAGAAAGAAAATACAATTGAAGATATACTCAAAATCATTACTACACTTTGTATAAAAGTGGACAGCATGGACAATGAGATACAAAAGCTAAAAATTAATGAAGATAGTCTGAAGTCTAAAGCTAATACAGGTCAGCAGCATGACTGTAAAAATGCGGAGCTAAGTCAATCGGAAGACTTTAAAAATCCAGAGCTAAAATGTGATGTTGGGAAACACCTTAAAACCCATAATATTTGTTTAAATGCAGCTGCAGGTACAAATAAACAAGTTAGTGAAAAACAACATAATAATACAAACTTAAACCAGCTATTTTAAAAACCATTTACTCCAAAAATGTCAAGAAACACATTGACTATGGAACCACAAACCTCTACCTATGCAGATAGCCTACAAAATGAGATAAAATTATATAACCATGTCACGAGAACATATATTGAAAATATATACAAAATTCAAACATATTTAAACCGTAATCCTAGATCCACTACAACCAAAGAACCAAGTCAAGACTACCTAACCCAAAAATTACAAGGTTATAACAAACTAATCGCACAACCAAAAACTAACGTCAATTTAGTAAGAACATGTTACAATTATGGACTATTAAATACCGTATACACATACGACGGAGAAGAAATAAGTGGAATACCAAAACTACACAAGGCATTCATTACATATAAAAGAGTTACCAAGAGAAATTTATTTTATGTAAAATTTTATACAACACCAGTGGAGATATTATACGAAGAGATAAAACCCCCAATTCAAGTTATTAAAATAGGACTAACCAAAGATATGATTATACCTAAAGATATTGGACAACAGGAAGAAATACAAAAAATAGAGATACCAAGTTTTTATGTCAATAAAAGAATAATTGGTATATCAACTATTATACAAGAGTTATCAAACAATTAATTAATTATTTGAACGGAAATGCTATATGAGGTTACTACTCTAGAGATCAGTTAATGATATATTCAAATTCGAGAGAACTAAGAAGAACAGATATGGATGAAGTCCAACGATGGATTTTAACATTATTAAAACCAGAAGAAAGACTTACGACAAGAGCACTCAAAGTAGGATTTATTTCGCCAGAACTATTAACCAGATATTGCAAGCTAATTGGACACAAATACCCTGATCAACTATGTTCAAAATGTAATGGAGAAGACAACTGATTCCAGATGTCTAGCTAGAATAAAGTCTAAAGAGATAAAAAGATAAAGAAGATAGAGACAACTAAAGAGATAAACCAAAGAAGAAATATTTGGCCAAAAAAGCCAAATAAAGTAGAATAAATCATGTAAATTAGTCAACAAGTGTAGAGTAGTATACATTATTAAAGTATGATGGATATTAAAGTAGTATGGACAAGTGTAAAGTAGTAGGTGTGGTAGGTGGTGTGCATTATTAATAATGATGACAAATGTATGAATGATAGGTGGTGTGCATTATTAATAAGACAAGTGTATGAATGGTAGGTATGCATTATTGTAAAGTAAATGTGCAGTAAGTAGTATAGTACGTGCATTATTGTGCATTACTGTAGACATATGATAGAAATTCCTTTCTTTATAAAAGAATGTACATGTAACTTAAGAGGCAGACCTTTAAGCCTTCAATAAAACTATTTCCTAAAAACACTCTCAAATATTTAAGATATTCATACTTAATAGATAATGGAACAAACTTCAGATATCATGGATAAGCAAGAGGCAAATGTATATTGTTCAACAAATATGCAGAACTAATTTCATATATTCCTGAATATCATATATATGATTGAATAAATTTATGTTAGCTATTATGTATTAGAATTATTTGAATCATGATATCTAGTTTATTAGCACACTGGAAACATGGAGAAAACTTCTATACTATGCCATCCTAATGTTGAAATTGGTAAAGCCGTTTAGGGGAGTAAACAAAGTTGAGGCGCTGATAAGAAGGAAGTATCCGCTAAAGTACGATGCTAGTAGTGACAGGAGAACATGATAAACAGATAATCTAGTTCATAATGATCTAATATGAATTTAATCAATTATGAATATGATAGGAAAGAATAATTGAAAATAAAAAACTTGCATAACAACGAACATGACTACATACATGCATGATGAAATGATAAAAAACTATGAAACTCTAATCTTATCTATACTTAAAGATATAGAAATAATTGAATTAAGAAGAATAATATGGGAAAAAATATTTAATAATAACGGATCAGAAGATATATTAAACCAACAATAGTATGAAATAGACCTACATGATTTAGACCTCGAAAGAATATAATGGTATGATTTATAAATAAATTCAGACTAAAATGAACTACAAATATTTACAATATTGAACAGAATCTATGGAAGATATAAAACTATTAGAACAATTGATGGAGGAAAATTTATATATGTACCTAAGAACCCAAGATATGTTATATCTAGAATATATCATAAATAATATTAAAGAGATATCAAAATTAAGACCCTTGAAAAAAGAATATTATAATAAAATCTTTAAGATAAATTCCTTACCTACCACACTACCACCTATCACACTACCAAAAATATGAATTCCTCAACTACCAATTTCGCACCCCGAAAAATGGTATCAACTTTATTGGGTCATAGGACTCCCCTAAGTTCGTAAATCAATTTTGATACACCTCGTATACTTATTATCATGCCAAAATAATTTATACTAATTTGTAGTTGCCTTGACACATAAAATAATATCTCCAACTTTATAAATATGTTTTAAATTAATCAATTTTTGTAGAAGCGTTGCAATATATTAAACCAAAAAATGTTGGTTGATTGAAGATGTAAACACATATACACTTGTTTATTTATCTGGTCTTTGTTCCTTCAAAGTTTAATGTTTAACTTTTTTTAGAAAATAATAATTAATAGTCTTCATTTATTGATAGATGATAAATATTAGGATAAATTAAAGGAGGTGATCTTTCGGTTCACTATATTAATCCAAAATGACCATTTTTTGTTAAAATAGTGACCGAAGGGTCAAGTTGTTTTTTTTTGTCACTACCACCAATTGCATTTGCATCTTTGCGTAGATTTTATACGTTATTATATGTATGTGGATGTGTATGTGCTTTTCCTATTTTTTTAAATACAATATCTTTTAAATTTCAAGTCGAAATTCGTCACTAAAATAATTGAAAGTTTAAATTTTAAAATTTGATTTATCGTAAACGTAAATCTTTTTAAGTGGCTAATACATCAAAAAAATTGAGACATTAAGAAGAGCTCATATAAATTTTTTTGAATTGTTTAGAGGAAAGTTTGAGTTGATGTTCATTAAAATTTGACACTAAAGAACTTCAAAACTCAAATTTTAAAATTTGATCTACCGCAAATGTGAATCATTTCGAACGAATAATATATCAAAAGAGTCAAAACTTCAAGAGAAGCTCATATCTAAATGAGATGTTGATGATATTTTAGACTTAATATGGTGGGTTCATATAAAAAGATTAACCTAATTAAATTAAATTAATATTTATTAAACTTAAATATTTAATATAAATATATTAGCTCAACAATATTTGTTTAAAAGAACAACTTTCACAAGTAGCAAATATAAAAATCATATTTATATGTTATAATTATAATTTGCATAATTACGTTTCGTACCACACTACCAAAAAAAATGTGACATAAATTAAAATGAAAACAAGTTTTTCAATCTAACCGGGGTCCGATTAAAATCAAAATTTTGATAAGAAAAAGAAAGAGAAATTAGGAGGAGGGCAAAGAGGCTTCAGGTTAAAACCCAAACCCCTTTCAATTATACATCTCTTCTTCTTCTTCTGCTTCCTGTTTAAATTTAACAGATCCATTAACAATAAATTCAATCATTCTGGTAAAGTTCTTAAGTTTTGCAGTGATCTATTTTGTATTGAACTAAGTCTGAGATCCAAACAACGAATTATTATATTGTGTTGGTTGAATCGGTCTTTTTCATTACTGAGATTGATTGTTTGAATTGAACTGGCTGTGATTCATGATAGAAAGTCTTAGTCTTTTATGTATATAGAATATTTTTGATGAATTCTTAATTATGATCATTGTAACTGAAAGAGTTTGAATTGAACCGGATGTGAGATCCATGTATTTCATTATATGATATTTTTGGGTAAATTCGTTGATTAATTCAATCTGAGATAGTCAGTGACCACAAAGTTCAATTCTCGATCTACATCTGAGCTTCTCTATTCTTATTGCTTTGATGTTTGCTGTAGAGTTGCAAAAAGTCGTGATGGCTGGGCATGATAACTCGAACGGGTCTACTGAAAAGTCGAGCAGCGGTATGGATGATTTGCCCACTTTCAATCCTGAGAATATGCAAAACAACATGAAAATTATTCTTTACAGGTTGGTTTGACTTTCACACCATATAGAGGTGGACTGAAATTATAGTTCCTTGATGATTTCAGCTAGTAATAATTTCGCGGTTTTTTTTTTAAAAGTAAGGACGTAGGTTGATACAGACTGTCGATGTGAATTTCTTCCTTAATCATGTGAGATTAATGTTAGCCCAACTGAACAACTGGTTGAAATTAGGGATATATGTACCTGTAGCTTTAACTCCTTCACTGAGGCATCATTTCGGTGGAATGTCACTAGGATATAAAAGAAAGATATGACATGATGTCAATTTAATAAGGTAACAAACCTCATAAAACAGCAACAGTGCTAACATCTTTTCATAAGTGGAATAACATTTCTTCATTGGTATGATTATTCTATATTATGACCATTTGTATTGCAGTCCTTGATTTCTTCTTATCTTCCCTTCACCCAAGACTATTACTCCTTGCACTTAAGCAGAAAGTATGTTACCCTTGGTGTAGTTGTATGATTTCCTCTAATGGCTTGAGGAAATGCGTATGGTCCTATAAATGTCTTTTCTTTTACCTCAGTAAAGTCCTACAAGTACCTCAATCATCAAACAAACAACCTATACCCCTAAACCAATAACTGCAGATTGTAATCTTATTAATGGAAATTTTACCTTATCAAGTTATAATTTATGAATGAGTTGTAGTTTTTTGAATAATTTCTTTTTGATCAGTAAGTAATAGCTTTTTGAGTAATTGAACAGTTACTACCTGTACCTGTTTTCAATGCTAGAGGAAGTCTTGGGACTATCCTTGTCATTTTGCCTCTAAAAGCAACCCCAAGCTCCATAAACTTATCTGTAAAAAGGAAAAATAAACAAACAAATCCAAGCTCTGTGTTGCAACTGTCTATAAAGAAATGTAACTACTCGATCACACAGTTGGATCCGAAGGAAGAATGAAAATATGATTGAGACGAGCAGTCAATCATATGTGAACAAGTAAAATTGGGTTCTATTTGTCTTTCTAAGCTAGTACATTTTTTCCTTGTCATTAGATATCTCCATTTATATTGAGCATTCTATTGTTCAGCCGCACATTCATGGCAATCATTGGTGGTGTCATTGCCGGCATTCTGGGACTTACTAGCTTGACAGGATTTATCTTTTATTTCCTTGTCATGGCAATGACTTCAGTAGCACTCACGGCGAAGGCCAAGTTTTCAATCCACTCCTACTTTGACAGCTGGAACAGAATCTTGCTTGATGGATTTTTCGGCGGGCTTATGGTACTTCTTTACATTCATACTTCTAAATAAGATCTCTTCATGCATTCTTTGTTTATTATAATCCTTGATCAAGAAATAGTTCATCTGCCTTCTCAATCACCTGCATAAGAAAAGGTTAAAGGGGTAGAATATTCTAGAAAAATTACTGTCTTTCAAAATTATACTCCCTCCATTTCAATTTGTTTGTCCTACTTTCTATTTAGTCCGTTTCAAATAGAATGTCTCTTTCCTTTTTTGGCAACTCTTTAGTTTCAACTTTCCACATGACATCTTTATGACCACAAGATTAAAGGACATTTTGGTACATTTGGTACATTTAAAAGTCTTCTTTACTTTCTTAAACTTTGTGCCAAGTCAAAACAGGACAAACAAATTGAAACAGAGGGAGTAATATTTTTTTGAAGCCCTAACTAATTTGTCTATCCTGCTTCATTTTTCCTCCCTGTTTCTTCAATGCCCTTTTGGAAGTTTTTTTCTCATTCATTTTCCTGTTATGAATTCTTCCCATAGCATCTTAACTTTTCTTTCTTCAAATTTCTCTTTAAGTTAACTAATTATTGGAATATATTATTTATTTCGGTGATATTTTGTTGATTAGAATCATGTTATCAGTATTCCTGTGGATCTTCTTAATTATTTTTAGGGTGATGAGTGTTGATTTCTTGGTCTTTTTACTGGGAATTCTTAGGTTTTCTGGGAATCTGTGGAAGGGTCGATTTCTAGGTTTTGGTAGCCTATGAACTACCTTTTAGTTTTGATATAGTATCCAACATAATAGTTTCTGATAGACTTTACTGCTGAAATAGTAAATAAAGGAACAAATACTGCTGTTTCACACTAGATACACTGATATTACAACAAGAAGTCTGAAAAACAATCACTAGGACATTGCCAACACCATAAATTACATCCTAAGACATGAATGAACTTTAGTTATATAATACATAACCTATGATTAAACAGATCATAACCTTTCAAGATATTTGAGAGTCTAGAACTCTCCCAGAATTCCTTTTTCCTTTTTCTGAACACCCTCTTTTAACTGCCTTGCCCCTTTTTGTACAGAAAAAACCACCCTGTAACTGTCTCATGATAGTTACTAAATCTTTTACTCCCTCCGTCCCATTTTATGTGGCAACATTTGACCGGGCACGGAGTTTAAGAAATAAATGAAAACTTTGAAATGTTTACCAAATTGCCCTTTAAAAAGTAGACTCACTTTTCTCTCTCCTCATAAATGTATTGGAGTATTATTTTAAGATTAAGTGGGACCAACAAGGGTAAAAGAGGAATTATACCTTTAAATACTTACCATATAAGGAAATGTGACATTCTTTTTGGGACTGACCAAAAAAGAAATGGTGCCACATAAAATGGGACGGACGGAGGGAGTAATTGTTTAATTTGGCCTCCTGGAATAAGCTTTTATAACTTGAGAGAAAGTCTGGAAATTGTAGATTCTACACCATCGTAGCACCCTTAGTTTCCCCTTCAACTACATCTTTTCCGGTAGACTCAAAGAATTCTTCCATACCATCTTCATTTGTATTGGGTGCCTGAAATAATCAATAGGTTAAGCTGCCTATTTTTACGACGATGATTGGGGACAAATTCTTCATCACATCTGAAATATAACCCCTGTTGTCTTTTTCGAGCAAATTCTGAATCAGACAACCTTCTGAATTGTTCCTCTGATTTTTCTACCAAAGTAGTCAACTTCGTGGCAGTATGAACTAGTGAATTGGTGTTACGACCTGCTGATCTGGTTATTGAGTCACGTGTTTCAACTATGTTTGTGACTTTAGGATGATTGGGTCTAAATCCAACTGGTTTGTTGCCTGAACTTCCTTTATTTGGTTCAAATTTAGAACTTTGAACTTGCTGCAAAACAGAAGTTCGATACCCCACCTTTTGAGCCATCTCCTTTATCTCTTTCAATGTTTGATCCCGTAAGCATTACTTCTGCTCAAATTTCCTCATTCTGCCCATTCAAAAGTACGCCAGATTGTCCATCAGACGCCTCCTTCATAGACGCTGACACCTTTTCAAATTCTTCATGAAACGCGGTTATTGTGGTAACTTGCTTCAGCCCCATTAAGACATCATACTGATTGATCTTTTGAGAACGATGAAATCGGTTTAACAACTCCCTTTGAAGTCTTCCCAGGTAACATTGGTTGCCAAGACTCTATCCAATAATCCAATTCAAGGTTTTTCCTTCCAAACTAACACCTACTGCCTGTAATCTTTCTGCTTCAGAAATTTCATTCACTGCAAAATACCGTTTCACACTAGATACACTGATATTACAACAAGAAATCTGAAAAACAATCAATAGGACACTGCCAACACCATAAATTACATCCTAAGACATGAATGAACTTAAATTATATAATACATAACCTACGATTAAACAGATCACAACCTTTCCAGATATTCGAGAGGTGGAACTCTCCAAGAATTCCCTTTTCCTTTTTCTGAACACCCTCTTCTAACTGCCTTGCCCCTTTTTTTATAGAAAAAAACACTCCGTAATTGTCTCATGATAGTTAAAGTCTTTTTATTGTTTATTTTGGCCTCCTGGAATAAGCTTTTATAACTTGAGGCACAGCAGTTCCACTGCTTGATTACTGAGAGGAATTTACTATCTTTGCATGATGATTTCAAATTGTAAATCTAGCTTTATATTTGACACTCGATTGACATTGTTTCTTTTCTTTGCAGTCATTTGTGCTCTTCTGGACGTATCCTTATCTGTTGTAGTCTTCTTAAAGATAAGACATGCATTTTTTCCCTCCCTTAATAAAACTATCTGAACTATTTTGTCCTCATCTCCTGTCCCAAGAAGTATGTCTGTTGTCAAAATTTTAAAGTTTTACTATCATCGCAAATAAGATAGGAATGACTGTACAGGTATTATCAGGTTAGAGTTGCTGTCAACATATTATCCTCTACGTTACATCCTCTCTCCTAAGAATACTAACCGCTCTTGTTGAGGAAAAAATTGTTCGGAACAAAACATATATGCATGATTGTAAGATCTTTTAAAGTGTTCTAACGGTTCTCAATCTTTTTTGTTTTCTTTTAAGAGAAGACTTTTCAACCAAAAAAAGGTATTTTGACAGAGTTTCTCTGAGAAGAAGTTCTGAAAACTTTTGACCAAAACAAGTTTTTCAAAAGAATTTGCAGAGATAAACTGGCAGTATCAGTGCCAATATCTTCCTTGCATTTCTTGCGTAGTTTCTAAGTACATTTACCATATCTTCACTTGCATGGTGTTGTATCCTATAATTCCTTAACACACGAAAGATTTGCGTATGACATTGTGCATATATTCTGAGGATCCTGTGTGAGATGAAGACCTTCTCTCTCCTTGATGGTGGAAGCTAGCTTACGTGGCACATCAAGAAGATGCTAGACATTTTCAAGTTCAAAGTAGTGGTATTCAAAGTTTGCACTCATGATGTTTCCTTTCTTTTAAGTTGCCCGAGATTATTACTGCAGAACAAACCACTGGTTCAAACTTTTGAGTTGTGAGTAGTTGAACATTTTGATCTTGACTAAAGTTTTTGTTAGGTGACTTATATTTGGAGTTCAAAAGCTTGAGTATTTGTATAAGCAGTTAGACATTTCAAATCACTGTTGAATGATATAGATGAGCTGGTTATCTTCGCCTAATCTAATTATTTAGGTTCAAATTTCTTGCAGTCGAGCCTTTTTCTTGATATAAGTGATGCTCTTGAAACAAGTTATACGTTCCGACTTTAGGTTGTTTTTGCCTTAAAGATAGACAGATACAGGTTTTGAAACTGCTCCACCTTGATTTTCAGCAGACATGTAATTTATACGTTCCTGTTTGTTCTTTCGTTTTTGATGCCAATATGTTTCGGAATATACAAAACGAAAGTGTGCAGTTTTTTTATGTGACATGCCTGGGAAGCAGCATGCCTTTCTGCAGAAATACAAGCTTTTTTATGGGATGAAATGACATTTTCCTTTCAAATATATTACTGTGGTAGAACAATATAAATAAGTAAACTGGGACATCACCTCACAGGTAGAAGGTATACATTACAAAATGTGAAAAATACAAACTGCACAATCCAAAATTTGAGTTCAAGTGCCAGACTTTATATACAAAGAATCCTAAACTAAAAACTATAACCCGGTTGAGTATATCTCTGTTTAATCATTTAAAAAAAGAAACTGTAGCCAGTTGTAGCTGGCTCACAAATTGTATCTGCCTTCATATAATGTACGTTACGCATTTACACCTGTAAATTAGAAACAAGCTCATTACAAGGATTGATTTTCTTTCAAAAATGAGGAACTTCCACTTTTCACTAGATAGATGTCAACTTGGAATTTTCTACAAGCATACATTTGCTTTCTGTTCGAGATTTCTGATCATTCTTATAGAAACTTGAGAAATGCAAAAGTTGAAGCAAACACTAAAGAGAATGACTTACCAGCATCTGAGGTACCCTTAGAAATACAGAGGACAAGACATATAGAAGACCTGATACAACTAAAGCCGCAACTATGTTGTAGCCAAGACGTTTATCATCTTTCATGGGAATAAATGTGGATTTCAAAGTGTTTGTCAATTCAAATAATCTGTGAGAAACCTGCACATATATGAAGAAACAGGAAACTGATTCGTTGCGTTTCATTCTTTTCCCTCATGAAAGGCAATGAACAAGAAATTAATCTACTTACTGCAACATATATGGCAGTGGTAAGCATGAAGTTCATCAACGGGTAGTCGGGGATCAAACACAGCAACTTTTTAGGCTGTCCGTCTGGCACACCAGATCTGCGTTTATTTACCTCTATGTTAAATGTACACATTTGTTCATACCCACAATTCATCTTTTTAAAAACAGAAGCAGAACTACTAAGATTTCTTTGTTTCCATAGAATCACATTGTAATTAGTGGTTAGTATGCCAAAACGTTAAGCCAACTCCAGCATTCCGAGGTGACACAAATACCTATTATAATATCTTTTTTCATAACCAGCTCAAAGTCAATTACTAAATAAGATCAGAGTTTGAGGAACATCACACAATAAACAGCCAAAAGTGAAACTTACATTAGTCTTGTGATGACATTATACACATATCAGAGAAGGAATTAGTATCATGAATCAATAGGAGCTAGTGAAGCATACTATCTTAAAAATCATGTAATGGATGTGCAAGAAACAAATTAACCTTTAATTCATCTCTCATACCTTAACCATATATGGATTTGGGATATATAAGTCTCCAAAGTGATCTTCCCGAGCCATCTGCAGGTCAACAAAGCAATAAGTGGTCTGTCTTGAAGTAATAAACCAAAATCCAATATCTAGTATCGACTTATACATGTCTGTCATGAATTTACTGGCTTTCAATGCCTTTCCTTGAACTCAAACATATGAAAAATGAACTGTAAAAAAAACTTTTAATGCAAATTTACTTACGCAAAAAGGGTTAACGAGTAGCTACGAAAATATTGGGTAACATTCCGCAAGGATATGTAGACACTGTTAGATAAGAACACCAAAATTTACATTAGAAGGGAACATGCAACACATTATTCACTAGTGGAAGAAGAAACTCCCAAAATAACTGAGCAATCAAGTAAAGGGGAAAAAAGACATACGCTATCGGTATCCAAGATGTGTAAGGATGATATTTGTTATATGTGACCTTCGGAAGCTTGTATATGTACTCATACCAAAGATATCCCATCTGGCATTTGTATGATAAGTAAACAAGGGAGAGAAGTTCGAAAATTCAGACAGCGGCAAAAGAGAGGAGGTACCGTGAGTGACATTAGGGCAACAGCTGCTTTTATTGATATCCTACGTTTCACTTCAGTTTCCTCAAGTTTCTCCATCCATCTCTCTACCTGATATATGAAACTAGAACCATTTATGAACTAACATTGTTAAGGAAAGGAGCTGAAATTTTAGAAAAGGATAACGGACAACATCCTCAGCTCTGCTCTGACAGTAGCAAAAGTTCATAAGTGGACTGAATGACAGGTAAAAATTGATAAATCCCTGAATGAGAACCTACTGTTGGATGGTAGTATGCATATATCATCCCAATTATCCATATGTAACGATCAAGACCTGAACGGAATTCCCATTCATGCAAGAGAGACTGCTTTGGTTTTGAAGGATCTGGGTCAGCATATCCTAAAATACATACATACACACAGGTGTTAGTAACCAGTCGTGACTACTAAGAACAAAAAGAAGCAAATTCAAGGTACCAACCAAGGAAGAAAGTAAATGGGCTCCAAACCACTTCAAAGACTCCTGGAACTTCCCACATCAGAATAACAACCAAGAAGCAGGCAATGAATTTAACGGCAATAACTGTCCCATTTTCATTGTATTTGTTGAATATACCAAGGGCCCCATAAACCATCAGTGTGAAAAGAGTGTGCATGGGGCATATATAATACAACATGTAATTGTTGTTAAGGATAACACAGCTAAAGAATACCAAGAAGTTAAGCCTCCACATCATCTGTCCATCAAAGACTAAATCTTTCAGAGGCACTGCCAATTAAGGAAAATTCAATACAAAAGATCTGCAAAGTCAACGGGCAGATACTACCTGAGTGAATCTTGCAATGCTGAAATCCTTGCGGATGTAGTAGTAAGAGAAATTCCCGAACCCAGTCATCCATACATATGCAGCTATAAAAACTCGTATAGCATTGTAAATTTCGGTGGCAGCAAAGTAGTGATACATTAAAAATAATACCTGTTACAAGAAATTAAATTGTGAGAATCCAGAAGTGTATGGCGGATGCAACAGAAACTTGTAGACAGAAAATAAACTGGCAGATGTTTATGAGAAGGAATACCGTCACTGACTCCAAGTTATTCAACAGATTGCCTGGTTGTCCAAGTGGTACAGGAAACAAGTATTTCCAAGATGCAATTGCAATTGGTTTACTTTTAAATTATGCCATAATTTTTTTCTGATATAAGTTATGCCATCATAAATACTTCAGATGGACTTTGGTGTTTCCTTACTCAAGCAAACCCCCCTTGGAGAAGAATTTTGTTCACGCTCAGACATCCTATTCTCTCCTAGTGGCCTACAGCCCTACACTAGTATCCTATTTTCTTTTCTCCTTTTTCGTGGGAGCTCACATACTCACAGGGGGGAAGCATGTCCAAGTTTTTTCGTTGTGTAGAGCCCATTTACTATTATCCAACAATTTCCAATCCCATACTAGTATCATGAGGAGATTCATTATTCACAACAATAGGTGAAAGATAAAGTTACAACATAAAGTCAGATTTCATACCAACATATGCAGGACAAATCAGGAGACAGGAAATCATAGATTATCAGCTAGTGAATACTTCAAGAGATCTTTTCAAAAATACTTCAAGAGATGAGCTACCTGCATCCATCCTTTCCATTCTTCAGTTTGATGCCGATTCAAATACATTATAGATTTTCCGGAGAAAGGAGACTTATCATGGTGGATCTTAAAAGAAGTGATTGCTGAGACAATGATGAGAAGGAAGTAGAGGAAGATGAAAAGATCACGATTGTAGCTCTGCAAAGACAACCAAAAGAAGAGGCAAAAGTTAGTTAGAACCAAGCAACTGCATATAACCAGTTTCCGGCACATAAATGATACATTAAAGACTAGAACCTTGGAATTTATCTAAAGTTGCAAATGATCTTGAACTAATTAAAAAAATACACAAAATAGAGTTAAGGATTCTTGATCAGTTGTACTTGCTTCTTTATTTTGAAGGAATGTACTCGTAATCCTTGAGTCTGTGTCTCCACATTGTCAAAGGATCTAGAGATGCTCCATCCAGATATAGCATAGAACATGGGCCAACTTAGTTTTATGTAAAATTATTATTGTAAGCACAATAACAGGGTGCTCCAGTGTTGTAACAGTATTCAGGACAAAAACATCACCTTTTCCATCCTAATACTGAAAAATACGTGACCTAAAAAGTCAAACTGTAGCAAACGAGGAAACAGACAAAAAAGGATAGAAGAAAGAAAGCTGCTTCTATCCCTGCTAAATTAGTCAATTGTTCATATGCTGCACAGTTAAACTTATCCTCATGCTTTTACCCCAAAAGGAATGTTCCAATATTTCTTTGGTTAATAATTATAAACAATGTCAATGGTTCATGAAGAAAACACAAAGATAAAGAAAAGGTTTAATGTACCTTTTTTGATTCACCAAACAGATTTGTACGGTCAGATAGGTAAAAGTAAGTCAAAAGGGCTCCAAACTCTGATCTGTAGATAAATAGGGGAGATGAGAAACAACAAGTTGAGCCATTGTCTTCAAATCATGAAAGTCCACTTACATTGCTCTCAGAGTTAATCGATTTTCAAGCAAGAGAGTTTCATCCATCAAGAAAAACCTGAGGTGTATACCTTACATGAGTTCCATGAACTGGCATTTCATCTGATTAGAGTAAATATAGAGTTTCAAACCTAGTTATCTGAGATGTCACAGATGAACTTCTGATTCTAGGCGATGTTGATTGAAGACCACCTCCTTCCAATAGGACAGCTCTATCATCTTCTTTGACTGCTTCATTTCCCAACTCAACCAAATTGATATCAGAATGCCTACTGCAATATGTAAGAGGAACTCTCCAGATTTAAATTTGATTGAAGATGAAAGCCCTCGCTTGGTCAAGACATGCATCACAGATTTGAGGTACAGTAAAGATATACACATTTTTTTTTTTTAGAAAAACATATATTCATGAAGAACCTGCCACCTTCATTCACTAATTCTAGGAGATAAGATAGGAAGATATGAATGGGCAGATGAATGAACATACCGCGGACTAAGAAAGGAATCATATCATATTTAGATATCAAGGAACTGGAAAATTATTATTCGCACATCTTATGACACTTATCAGTTACCATCATATCTGATCTGATATTAAAAGACGCTTTTGTAGAGAGACAAAAGCACACAAATGAATGCTCCCTAATGTATATTTTTGCAGAGGAAGTGTCAACAACAATAACAGAAGAAATAGTAATAACAACAACAACCATAATAAGAAGTATATTTCTTTATAAGGGGAATTAATAAAGAGCTATCATATAATCGAGAAATTTTTAAATAAATTGCTATCGCCATACAACAATTTATCTGCCAAAATACATAACCGAAGAGGTTTAATCCACTTACACTTTGGATGATGATGAATTTTTCTTGTACTCCAAATACTCTGAATATAACCAAGCAGCACATACTGGCACAATTCCAAGAAAAAATGACACCTGTAATTCATTTAGAGGAAAGTTACATTTTGATATATCAATCATCCGTTGTCCAAAATCATATGTTGCTCGGACTCTTCAAAAATGTCGATGGGTGCGTGTCGGGTTCTCTAGAAGTAGTTATATTTTTGAAGAATTTGACACGGGTGCTGCATCATTTTTGAAGAGTCGGAGCAACATAGCCAAAATCAACTCATTGAAACCTAGAACTACAAACACTTGATCACATGGCAAAAATCATGTAAACCACCTTCTAACTATAAAACTCTACGACAATGCTATGAAATTTGAAACCAAGAAGACAAAACAAGACTCAAAGCTCAAAAGTCCCATTATACATGGAATCAAAGAAATAAAAGCCCAGTTTGAAAATGTAATCAGAAAGGAGTAACACATTAGAACATCGAAAATGCCACTTACCCAAAAGCATTCAACATCCTATTATGATGTGAAGTGGGAGTAACCCCTTAAAAAATAAAGTTGAACTCTAAGTTCCATAATCAAATGGGAAGTTATGAAACAAATGCAGCTTAGTAAAACAAGTCCACTCAGTGCAAAATGTAATAGAGTGAACAAAAAGGTCCGAATTTTAATTGCGAAATCATAAGAAGAATCAGATAACATCAAACTACTAGTATTTGAACCAAAACCCAGAGTCCAATAGATGTATGTTATTGAACAAGTAAACTTTATGACGGATAACCAGAAAGCATTCAGCAATAGAATACCCAACTTGATAAACCGATTTGCAAAAAATGAGGAGCATTAACAGTGGAAGCAAATATTTGAACTTCATACAAAACATGTTGAGCACAAACCAAATACAAAACCCAAAAGAAAGAAAAGTGGATCAAAATGCGAACCAAAAATAGACTAACCTGACCAGGTGAAAGGGGGCCGTAGATTAGCATTCTCACAATTCAGCACTGAATCAATTGATGATTAGAAGAAAGAAAGAAGAGAAATGATGAGATGTAGTTATAAATCTTTGGTGTTTTGCTAGTATTTATTATATACTTCGACGGAAATGGATGGGAGGCTGAACCAAAAAAAATGGTTAGAAAGCTACCCTTCCGCCTTTAGGGGTCGTTTGGTTTGAATATGAGTTGTGATGGGATAAGTTATGTTGGGATAAGTTATGTTGGGATTAGTTATGATGGATAAGTTGTTCTGGGATTATTTCTTATTGAGTGTTTGGTTTGTTATATTCAAAATAATATATATTGATAAATTTTAAGAACAAGTTGTTTGTTTACAAAATTACCCTTCACTTTATTTAAACTTTTTAATTTTTTCTTTGTGAGCTTTAGTTATTCATTTTTTAAAATAAAACTTTTATTTTTTTTTAACTTAAATATTTTTGTTTATGTATTCCCATGATAAGTACCATGTGTATTTAAAAATATAACTTTTTTCTTATTTAGCTTAAAAATAGAACTTTCCTCTTAAGTTTATTAAAGAGAAGAAAATTTATGAGATATCAAAATAAAATAAACATAAGAATTAGTCAAATAAATTCATAAATAAAAATTATATTTATATAGTATAATTTTTTAATAGAAAAATATGTATAATTATCATAAAAATAAGGAGTAGTAAATATTATTATACATGGTATTAAAAAAATGTAAATATACATAAATGTAAAAAATGATACATAAAAAGGATTTAAAGGGACATAGTTGTCATTTACCTATTCTATCTCGGGATAAGTTATCCCGGGATTACTATACCACCCATGGGGAGGGATAACTTATCCCGGTACTAATTATTAATCCCGGGATAAGTTATCCCGGACTTGCCAACCAAACAACATAATTTTTTTTTTATCCCATCACTATTTCCTTATCCCATCACTATTATTTCTAATCCCTCACACCAAACGAGCCCTAATGATCCTTATAACTGGGTTATGTTATTCCATAATCAATCACATTTTAAACTAATCAAAAACACTTAATTATCTTGCTTCTTCTCTTTTTCTTATACCCTCCATATAGCATATGTTTCTATTGAAATAAATTTTATTTAATACTGATTTTTATCTTGGTTTGTTAATTAGCATCATTTTAATATTTTTTTATATAGTTTTTAAATATATAAATTTTAGCTTTCAAAATTTAAATTATAATACGTAAATTAAATTTAAAATATATATATATATATATATATATATATAATATTCATGTATAAATGAGTGAATAGCAGGTACTACCGACACAAGTCAAATTGTCAATTAATTTAAAGATTGCAACATCATGCACCTTAAGGCATGAGATTTCAATTGTAGCAAAACTCGTGTCCTTCTCTACCACTATTCACCTACAATATTACTTTAAAAGAATTTTTAAAATTATTTTAAGTTATTAATTATGGTGATTTATAGTACTTTATAATTTAAAATATATAAATATTTTTTTATGTATTTATTCATATGTTTCAATTTATGTGGTACATATGGAATTTGAAAAGTCAATCAAATATGTTATGGGTCTAATATATATTATTTCCCTATCCCAACTTATATGACACGTATAGAATTCCAAGAATCAATAAAATAAAATTATTTTAATTCATAATACTTTCAACATACAAACATATAAATTATTGAAAATGTATTTACTCCCTTTAATCCAATATATGTGGCACAAATAAAATTTAAAGAGTCAATTTTATTTGATCGTAAATTTTTATATGTTTTTAAAAATATTTTAAGTTGTTAACCATTGTGATTTGTAATATTTTTTACGTAATTTCTAAATATATAAGTTATTATAGATTCTTTTTTGATAACTCAATACCTAAATAACAAAAGTGCCCTTTAATGCAATTTTAATTTCAAGAAAGGAAAAAGATAATTATTCTCGATCTGGTGCACGACAGTAACCCAAGGCGTACGTGGTGAAGCTCCATAGTGCCGACATGGCAAATAGACGGCAAAGGAAAGCAGTGGATAAAATTCAGCAATCGAATACAAGCTAACTGCGATCCATCAGAGATGACGAGTATAGAGCAAGATCTTATGAGGTTAACCACCCTGTAGTGGCGGTGAATCCAAGAGGCGGTATTCCTTATCTTGCATCTTCCTCAGTGTCGACTTTTGATTTGAACGCGCTTGAAAAGTGGTTTTCACACCTTACTTCTTGCTTTCCTTCGTTGTGAACTTCATAGGCGACATATTGACATTCATGGATTATTTGTTGTAATTTCTGGGCACAAATTTGCTCCATCTCTTGGGTTTCTGCTTGTCCCTTCCTTTGCGAGGTTCATGGACAAATGTCATATCCTTTTCGGTAGAGGACATGCTTAACTCCATATCATGAGTGTGAGTAGCTAAATATTTAAAAGACGTTGGCTTTATTCTTTGTAATAGATATGATTTTTTTTACTCTATAATATAAAAGTAGATTGAATTTAGAAAATTATGTAACTTAGATATATCTATATAAGTTACATAATCTTTCAAATTTAATCTACTTATACAAAACCCCAATTCATAAAGAAATACAAAAACACAATAGACACTTAAAATAGATTGAGATACATCTGACTTTTCTTTACAAATATCCAAATCATAAACAGCGTGAAAAACATAAACATATTGAAAATCAAAACAGGTGCACATCAATCTTTGTTAAAAAATATCAATATATTAAAAAATTATTTAGAAAAAAATCCAAACCTATATGTTAGACTCCATTACGTCTTGTTGCACTTATTGTGTATTTGAGTTCAGTTGTATATCTGATCTGTTAAATAAAATTTAACGTAATTTTGCCATTTTGATTGGATCATTCCTAAAATGAGATCTATTTTCGACTTCAATATTGGTAGATGAAGATTGAAATCATGCACCCATTACAAAATTCTTAATGAAAACAAACAAATAAAAATTGTATAAACAACTTCAAACATTGCTCTATAGATAAAGAACTCATACTATTTTGTGAATTGTGTGTAACACCCATTACTTAAATAAGGGCAGAAAAGTCTTTAATTTTTTCTTTTTTTTATAATAAAAAGAGGAAGAAAGTGGAAAGGAAACCTAATTAAATTGATTTTTGAAAAAAAAGAAAAATTTAAAAAAAAGAGGAGGGCTTCAGCCCACTTCCTGCGTATGTTCATGAAAGGCTCTAATAGTAGACCCTTTTAAGTTATTCCCTTCAGCTACTTGGTAAACTTGAAGGAAAACATACAAGAAGCTTCTATTTTGCTCCTCTGTAAAGGATCAACGAAGATAAATTAAAAGCCTCAATTCGTAATGAAAGAGAGAAGGAGAAAAGAAAAGTAAATTTTCTGAACTTAATTTAAAGATTTAAATTCACAGATTTTATGACTATAGAATTAGGATTGTAAGTTTAAGAAAATAAGGGTTAAAGAGATAAAAGAATCTGTTAAATTCTTAGCATTTGAGTGAGTACGTTTAATGATTGGACAAAGTTTTTATATTTCAGCATAGATGAAAGAAAAGTAGAAGGACAATAAGCTTATGTTGGTTTATTACAATGTGAAAGTAATCAAGATGAGGCTGTTTTGTGTGATCTAAGTACCAGTTAGGCGATATGGCAAATTTTGAGTTATTTATGGTACCTCGAGGGCTGGGTAATTGTCGTAAATGAAGAAGTTAACACGAGGTTATTATGATATGATTATAGATTGATTGAAGAAGGCCTTACGGATTGCTTGAGGTGACAAGTTCGATATTTCAACATGAGTACTATGAGTAGTAATCCTACTATAATTTGTGTCTTATAACTTTTATGATTTATACATGGTTTAAAAAGTGAATGATTTATCGAAATGCTTTGAACTTGCATATGTGACAAGTCTTTTACTTGATATAATATCGAAATAGTTATTTGAGATGAACTCGCTTTTATAAGACATGTTTATTGATACTTGAGATATGATTACCGTTATCGAAAGAGTTTAACATTTACTTGAAAAATTAATATTTTGACATATGTTTTTGGTTAAAATTTCATAAACTATGATTTGATAAGAACCTAAATGTCTTATAAAATTTTGAAATGTTTCTACTGATTTCAAAGAAAAGTATAAATGAGAGTAGACCTTGACGAATCTTGTAGCTAACGGCGGGTTCGTTAGATCTGGTGCACCTTGTAGCTACAGATTACCGATATAGCCCTTGCTAGTGGAAAGATAAAATTAGCATACTTTTACTGACATCCCTTGAGTAGGGATCTACCGATAAGAGTGTTTAACTCATTTATGAGGAGTTTACTGTCATTGGTTACTTCTTAAAGAAGAAGGCCACACTGATTACATGATTCGAAACCTCCCAAATATAAGATTTGCTATGAAAGTGTTTTTATGAGTTTATTTCTAAAAGTTCACATTATTTTGCTTATATGAGGCAAATAAGATTGATTATTGTTATCGTTTCTGAAAGGACACATTGATTCATTATTTCTAAAAGTTCACATTGATTAGACAACTAAGATTGATTATTGTTATCATTTCTGAAAGGACACATTGATTCATCATTTTGATTATCATATTAACATGTTTTCTGACTTGTCCCTCATTAAATTGATTTTGGTTAGGTGTTATTACTTACTGAGCTTACGTCTCACTCCTCGCTAAATGTTTTTACAGAGAACTGAAGTGGTATTGACGGGCATTTCATTAACTAAAGAGTGTGATTTGGTAGCATCTAGTGAGCCCTGCTTCGCTCGACAAGAGATTTATCAAATTGATATTTTCTCTGTTTTAAACTCTTAGAGTCGCTACATTTGTCAGTTATTTATTAGAGTCATGATTATTCCTTCGTGTTGTAGTCAAATGACTAATTTTAAACTTCTTTTCGTAATTGGAGAAGAATTGGTATAATTGTTTAACGATTGAATTGTTGATGAATATTGAGTCATGAGTTAGGAATGTTATTAGCTGCATGTATTTATTGATTTCTAAGACAAGGAAAAATTGATAGGCCAAAAAACAAAGGAAATTCTACCCGATTTTCTGTGGATTTATGTTAAGGCTTGGTTTGAGATTGTTTCCCCTTACCTCCGGTCACGGGCCTAATTTGCATCGTGACATTGTGAGACATTGCTCTATGGATAAAGAGTAACTTCAAACAATGTAAAATCTAATATCGAACTTTAGAAAAATTGAAACTCTAACTCAAATACATAAAAGTGGTGAAATCTTCTCGATACATTCAAATATTAGCGAAAAACTGAACAAAATCTTACTTCTTTATTTATTGCTAGTCATCAAGAATTAGTTATTGATTTAGTACATCCAAACATGTATTATGGTGGAGGAAGAAGTTGAGAAGATGGGTGTGTGTGAATTACGTGAGGGTGGGGTGAGATACATACCGATAATGAGATTAGGGAGGGAAACGATTAGTGTGATAGGAGATAAAGTAAAATTTGAATTATTAATGTCCCATTAATTAAGGAGATTATATTTTAAGATAATTATTCAATACCATATTTAAGGAATTTGTGTATCTGATTTAACTTTTTATATAACTTTTTAAAATATATAGTATAATTATTCAAAAGTGGTATTATGGGTAATTTTTAAACTAGAGATAAAATATGTATATATGGTGACAAAATATATCTAGTTATATAGTTTTTCCCGTTCCTTTTGTATTAATTTTGTAAAACGACAAGTACTCCCTCCGTTCATTTTTATTTATCATTGTTTGACTTGACACATCCATTTAAAAAATAATTATTGATACACACCATCCCTATTAAATGAGGTTTAATATTAGGTCTTGAAAATAATTTGGAGAATAAATATTTAATGCTAATGGTAAAACATGAAAAAAAAAAATTGTCATTTCTTGATATGTCAAAATTGACAAGTAAAAGTAAAAATCTATTTTAAGAATAAATGACAAATAATAATAAATGAAAAAATATTTAAAAACATCTATCTTTAATAAGAGCAAATTTAGGTTTAGCAAACATAAAAATCATATTTGTATGCTATAACTATAGTTTATATAATTGCGCTCTATAACAAACTTTATGTTTTGTATGACTTTTAATATGTATATTTCTGTCATGCCCCAAACTTGAGGGGTGCAACTGGCTCCTAATGCCAAAACTCAGGCCCGAGCCGACCCTGCCGAACCATTTGCTACTAGCGCATGGCAGCCACACGCAAATACCAAAACTAAAAGCAGGTATATATCAATACAATACATCAAACAGCTCACAAGCTTCAGCAAACCAACAACATAGGCCAGTATGGCCATAACGTAGCTATACACCCCACACACTAGTCTGCAAGCCTCTAAGAGTAGTAAAAATTAGCGGGATAGGGCCCCAGCGTACCCATAAAGATATATACAACAAAAGGTAACAAACCTCCCAACTCTGGCAGCTCCGGAGGAAAGGGGCTAGCCAACTGGATAAAATTCAATCTTGCTGTTGAAGAGGTCTACTCGATCGTCTGTCAGGACCTGCATGCATGAATGCAACTCCCCCAAGGCAATGGGGAGTCAGTACAAAATAATGTACAGAGTATGAAAGGAAATAGACTATGAGAAGGTATCTTGATATATACTGGAATAATCTGATAAATAAATCAAGGATAAGATAAGTGTATTGACCTGCTCCTAAATCTAAACTTATCAAAAATAATAAAACAACAACCTAACCAAGCCCTCATAAGCTCGACAGGTACAAACAACACACAAAACCACCTACTCAGACCCCCATAAGCCCGAAAGGTGCTACTCAGCCTATATACCCTTATCAGTAGTCTCCTAGCCCCGTAGGCAGTCACATAGCCCTCTTAGGCATTAATAAATCCCCGTAGGCAGAACATAACTCTCTTAGGCATCAACATAGCTTATAGACAACTCATACCCCTCTTAGGCAACAACATGGCCCTGTAGGAAGCACATAGCCTTCTTAGGCGTCAATATAGCCCTATAGGCAACTCATAGCCCTTCTAGGCATCAATATATCCCCGTAGGCAACTCATAGCCCTTTTAGGCATCCATATAGCCCTATAAGCAGAACATAGCCCTTCTAGGCATAAATCACATTCCTGCAGCTAACCACAATAGCCCCAAGGGCAACAATAACAATCCAATTGCTAAAAGCGAGCAATTTAGTTATAAGAAACCTATACAAATAGCCTCTAAGGCGTGTCCAACATAGGGACGCTACTAACTGAATAAGAATCCCGACAAGGGAGGATTATATCAACTCGAGTAGCCAACAATCAACAATCACGGCTACAAGTATATCAAGGATAACAACCCAAATACATTTCTTCTAAGCTTTAAGGAACATACCGTAAGTAGGGAATAGCCTTAACATCCATTTTTTGCTGAATTCACGTGTCCTAATAACTTTAATCACAACCCCCCTTGATACTACAACAAGGCAGAATCATAATCAACACAAAAGAATAGAAGATACAACTAAAATTCGATAAAAGATATGTATTTCCGTCGTAAATTGTTATTTGCGACTTATCAAAGCTAGAATCGATGAAAGAAGGGTCTTACCTTGATTATAAGTTTGTAATACACCTTAAAACTTTAAAATATGCCCAAACCCCTGCTGTCCACACACCAAAGTACGATATGCTAGGAAATCGATAAAATAAATTATACCATGTTGACGAGCTCAATGCGTAGAACAACTTTTGTCAAGGACTTAAGTCACAAAAATCAGTAACTTGGCTTGTCCTACAAGTGGGTTTTGTAGGTTTTGTGAGTTTTCTGGTTCTTCACTAAGGAAAATGAAGGAAAAATGAAGAAAAGTCGAAGAAGATGATATATATAAAGTTCCACCGACCTAGGGGACCCACCTCACTTGCATGCTTGCGCAGTCTTGCGAAAACGCAAATATCTCTCCATTCTGAAGTCGTATGAACGAACGGGTTGATGCGTTGGAAACTAGACTTATAGACCTTTGATTTCAAAGGTCGCGGGGACCATAACTCTTAATAAATTGGGAGAAAACGTCCGAGACATTTGACCCAAAGTTCAGACAAATCTTTAAAAAGGAATTTACAGTAACTTTCGCCAACTTTTATTTTGCCACTTACCTAACTTCAAAACTTGAGATACAACACTTGAATACTTAAAATATCACATAACACATCATTCTTAATTTATTACCCACCCTCCTGGTCTTTTCACGAAGATACGAGTCAATTTATACGTTTTGAAAAGTCGGGGTGTTACAATTTCGGTATACATATACAAAAGATCAATTGTATAATCTGTTTTGGTATACATATATAAAAGAATCAATGTATAATCTGTGTTTGTATAAAGCGAGAAAGAGAGAAAGACAAAAGAAAACAGGGCAGGGGAAGATATTTGTATAATTATAAGTGTACAGGACGAAAATATATGTATTGTATTTGCATATACAATGTTCTCTCGCTCTATACAAACACAAACACAAATTATACATTTGTATTTGTATAAAGTGAGAGTGACGAGCGCGATCTGAGAAAGTGGTGAACGAGATTTTCTGGGGAGAGAGGCGAATGAAAAGATATGCATATATACAATTTTCTCTCACTTTATACAAACACAAACGCATTTTATACATTTGTGTTTGTATAAAAGTGAGAGAGGCCAGAGAGAAAACGAGAGTGGAGAGCGAGAATTTCAGGGAGAGAGGCGAATGACAATATTTTGCTACGGGTTACAATTAAATCAAACTGTGGTTATAACATTTAATTTGAATTAATAGTTTGTTATTTTATACAATATTCCCTTTTAATAATGACTACATATAAATAGGAACGGAGAGAGTAATTACACCAATTTGAACAAACCCTAAAATAAATTTTGGATTAGATGACGTGTAATACAGAATATAGGTGTCAATATTTGAAATGGTGACACTTTGCGCATCATAACACGTTTTCACCTCTAACCACACACACCAGGGACAAACAATTCTTCTTTCTTTCCCCCGTTTTTCATACACCATTTCCAAAATTTCACAGCACGAACAGAGAGGTCACCATAATCCTTTCTTCATATTTTTCCCTTTACTAAATCCTTTTTGTTTTCTTCTCAATAAGGGGTTTTTAGAAAATCAATATCTCTAATAAGGGTTTTTGTTTGTTTCTTTTCCCTTACCTTTTCATACTTCATCTTCTTGAATTCCAATTGAAGATTTGTGTATGGAATTTGGGCATATTGAAAGGCAACAATTGGTTGATCCTCGACATGTGAATACATATCTACCCCGATGGTCAATTGGGTTGCGTCCAAACTCGAATCTTGATTATCAGGTAGGCCATTTTAACCCCCTACCCCCTCTTGATGGGGTTTTGGGTTTTGGGGGAAACCAAGATGGGATTCTAAGAATGGAGATGGAAAGGTCAATGTCACTCTTTCAGGTTAGCAATTTTTTTAAGTGTTGATCAAAGTGTCAACTTTCATTTGCTCAACTTTCTGATTAATTTTGCCTTTGTTTATAAGCAGATTATGGGCGATGAAGGTTTAGTGCCTTCGCTAGAGGAGGAAATGAAAAGGAGAAATGCTATTCACAAGCTCAAAAAGGTGAAAATATGTTAATCAATTGGAAGAAGTGTGCATTTTACTTGGGTGATTGAGAAAGTATCCTTTTTATAGGTTTATGGAACTCATCATATTGCAAGAAAAGAACTAGCTAAAGTATTAAGACAAGATAGTAAATTAATATGTAAAATAAATGTGCCAAAGAATAAAGAAATGGGAAGAAAACAATAGAGCTAAATAACCTTAATAAATCTGTTGGATTTTTATTAACCAAATAGATTTGGCTTTGCGCTATATTAGATTTGATAGAGTTTCTTTCTGTTGTTTTTACTACAATAGCAATTACACCTCAATCCCAAACATGTTGGGGTCGGCTATAAATCTTCACTGATCTCAATCCAATATTGTATAAAATAAAAATTAAGAGTACCAGAATTTTTTATAATCTTTAATGATGTATAAATTTCTGAAAGGTTAAACATCTCATCGAAATGCATAGTTGTTTTCCATTATGTAAATTCTGTAATTGGCAAGAGTTATTAACTCCGTTACATTATTTGTTCATTCTCATTTATCAGATAGTGAGGGAATGGGTTCAGACAGTGGCTTACCATCATGCTCTTCCCAAAAGATACCTCAGGTTTGCCTCTGGCACAATATTGACATATGGATCATATGGTCTAGGAGTAAGTCTTAATTCATTACTTGACAGTTTCCTTTCTTTTGTTTGGTTGGAGAATGCAGTAGTATGATGGCAGATCTGTGGGTAATAATTTGTGTTCTTGTTATCAACTGACAGTTTCTTGTTGCAAAATGCAGTTTCAAGTTGAAAGTCTTTCTAAGAGGGAATGTACTTTCAGCGACACAACATTAAAACTGACATTTGTAAATATGGTTCTATTTTAACCCGTAACTGAACACTACCTATCCATGCCCTGGGAGATTGCAATTTTACTGTTTACTTCTCTCCCACTTTTAATATCACAGCTGCAAGTTGATGCAGAAAATACTTTCAAAGTTGCAGTTTCCTCACCGTCTGACTTGTTTTATTCTTTTCAGGTTCATAATTCAGAGTCTGATATTGATGCATTATGTGTTGGACCGTGCTTTGCAACAATAGAAGTGAGTCCTTTTCTTATTAGCTTCTTTGAATCTGGTTGAGGTTGTGCATATTTTGATGGGTATATCCTTGTGATTCATGTAGGAAGACTTTTTCATTGTTCTGCGCAACATTCTCGCGAGCAGACCAGAAGTATCAGATATCCACTGTGTCAAAGGTGCGAAGGTTCCTCTGATGAGATTCAAATTTGATGGGATCTCTATTGATCTTCCATATGCACGGCTAAAAGTAATATCCATACCTGAGGTGAGTTTACCCTTATATTGTTGTTATTGTGATTGATGGTCAGTCGTTTGAGCAACCATATAAGTCACCACATCTCAACCAACTCATTTGCAAAAGAAAACAAAGATTTCTTAAATGTCTCTCTCTAATATTATATTATTTCTGAATGAAGTGTCACATCATATTAGCTTTTTCTATGCTATGACCAGGATGTGGATGTATTCAATCCATTCTTCCTGAAGAATATTGATGACAAGAGTTGGAAAAGTCTGTCTGGTGTTCGTGCAAATAGGAGAATTCTTCAACTTGTGCCAAATGTAGAGGTAAGTAATACTTCTTAATAGTTATTCCTAGTATGGTTCACTTAACTTTTTCAAAAATGAAAGCTTGAGATTGTAGTGATGTACAATTCTGAGTACTGAACTCTTACCAAAGTCCTCCATGAGTTCGATTATGGTCATTTGGAATTAAGAAAGAGGTTACTTAGGGTCTGTTTGGAAAGCCACTTGGTAATTGTAATTGGTGTAATTACTAGGGTAGTAATTACCAGCCTAGTAATTGGTGTAATTACTAGGGACTAATTACCAGCCTAGTAATTACACTGTCTAGTAATTACACTGACCTGTTTGGTTGTCACAGTGTAATTACACATGTCCTGTTTGGATGCCACAGTGTAATTACACATGTTCTGTTTGGATGCACAATTGCAATTATAAAATTATAATAAATTTTAAAAATAAAAATTAATTATTTAGAATTTATACTAGACAAATAAAAAACTTTATAAATGACATTAAATTAAATATTTAAGATATATATTCTTGTTTGAAAATATATTAATTAATAAACATATTTTCTGTACTACTATTATGAAAAAATAATTGATTTATATTTTTTCAAATTAATATATTTCAATTGAATTGATCGTAACAACTAAAAGTATGAAGTTTCTACGAATATCGTAAAATGCATGTTTGATAAAATGAATAATATATAAATAAAATGTCATAAATTATTAAATGTTTGACAAAAATATAATCTATCAAGTCTAATTAAAAAATGACATGCAATGTAAATTCAATATTACTAAAACAAATGAAACTGAAAATATAACATTAGTTATAAATTCAAAACAAAAAATTTAACATAATACTCTTATAATAAATTTCAACATAGCAATAAATATGATTTATTTTTATTTTTTTCTTAATAAAGAAAACGTAAGTCTATAACCTTACTTAACAATAAATTCTGTTTTAATTTAAAAATTAGAATACTAATAAAATTATGCTAATGAGAAAATAAGCATGGCATAAAGAAATAGATAATACGAGAAAATTACATAGAATCATGTAAAGTAAGGTTGAGAACAAGAAGAAAATGAAATATAATAATATAAAATAAAAAATAAACTTTTACAAATTTTTAGAATAATAAAAATAAAAAAAGAACTTAAAATAATAGAAGTAAAAAAAATTAAAACAAAGAAATAAAAATAGATATAAAAAAAAAGGAAATTAAAAAGTAATCAGGTGGTAATTACACCAGGTAATTACTAGCAATTCACAGCCTCTGCCTGTGAATTGTAGAGTGTAATTACCTCTTGCCAATTACACCAATTACCTGCTGACCAAGTAATTACCTGTCCTTCCAAACAGGACAAGACAATGTAATTACACCAATTACACCAAATCCAATTACCAAATTACCAGGGTGTCCTTCCAAACAGGCCCTTAGAAACTTTTAGTTAGTTGAGAAATTAGTCACTATCAAATTATTGAGATATGATGTACGGTGGAGAACTTATTTGAAGATACTCTAGTAGTTTGAACATTTTTACCTTAGCTACTTACCCACAAATTTAGTTGAATAAGCCTGTTCTGGTTTTGGGATATTCTTGGGTTGTGTCAGTGTGTTATAGGTTCTTAATTGGTGCTCATTAATCAGAATTGCCATGTCTTACATAGTTTTGTGGTGTGATATCCTACAGATATTCCAGGCAGTTCTGCGTTGTGTTAAACTATGGGCAAAGAAACGAGGAGTTTATGGGAATGTAAGGATTGTGAACTTTTTATCCTGCCTTTCTATTTTAAAATTTCAGCATGACCAACTTCATCTTGATCATGAAATAAAACTAATGAAGCAATTACCTGCAGTTGCTCGGATTCTTTGGAGGAGTTCATCTAGCAGTGCTTTCAGCATTCATCTGTCAAAGGCATCCAACAGCCAGTTTGAGTGCACTTTTTTTTATTTTCTTCAAAACATTTTCCTTTTGGCCTTGGCCGACTCCAGTAGTTTTACAAGATGGAGTTGCTTGGCCATTTATTCCCACGGATAAAGTTTTGTGGATGCCAATCCAGTTACCATGTAGCCCATATCAATTTTGTCATTCAAACATTGTCAGAAGTACATTTTTCAAAATCAAGAGTGAGTTCATGAGAGGGCATATGCTGACTAAGGTATGTGCCTTTTGGTATTAATTTATTGATATATTCTGTTTCCTAATTAAATCTTTAATGCTTCCTTTTCATCCTTTATTTGTGCTTGGTCCTTCTTGTTCCCCTTCCTTTCCCTCCTCACTACATGTCATATTCACTGCAGGATATGTTAAGGCCAGAATTTGATTGGAACATCCTGTTTGAGCCCTTTCCTTATCCAAGAAAATATGAGAAATTTGTCAAAATTTTCCTCTCAGCTTCTGATAAAGATGAGCTAGGTGACTGGGTGGGTTGTGTCAAATCACGCTTTCGCTGCCTAATTATCAAAGTATGTGACTTGCCAACTGACTTATTGTTTCTCTGTCGTTCAAATCTCTTAGCTTTTGTTAAACATGAATTATATATGGCTTTTTGCATATTTTCACCTCTAACTAGAAAAAAGAATATTTGGAAAGGTGACACAATGTTGAAGTTTTCTTTGGAAACCTGCTAAACTAGATAGATTTAGTATAATCCAATATGTTGTGGATAAGTAATTATGCTTTCTGGTTATACACTATCAAATCTTTGGTATGGGAAATTTGCATGCTAGAACGAACTTGATTGTATAATTTTATGTAATCCAATATGTTGCGGGTAATTGAAGTGATCATGTTATGTGGTTGACTTCCAATGATGCATGAAGAGATATGATTTTTTCTGTCGATCACAGTCGTTCTGGTACTGTGAACATGGTAGGTATTATATCACTGTGATAATGAAATTCAACATTTAAAAGACAATCACTCTTGTGTCTTTATTTTGGTGCATGATGACGACTATTTGAGAAATCTTTATGTAAGGTTTATGAATCAAGTCTTCTATCTAAATAAAGCGTTGGGGTACATATAGATCGCAAGATGCTAGTGGATTAGAGAAGTTTTAACAATACTGCTCCATGGTAGACTAGATATGTGATGAGAGTTACTTGATCCTTGATTTTCTTTCTTCCCAGTTTCTGGTAGTCTCTGCCTGGTTTGTCTGGCAATGCATAAAACAATCTCCTTTTACAAGTAATTCTATTTTATATATTATTTCTATTTCATGTTGTGAGTATTGTATTTTGAAGAAACCTTCCTTGCTTGGTTGGCAGCTGGAGGAGTTGTTGGGGTTTTGTGACCCCAACCCAACAGAGTATGCTGATGTTGATGCATCCGAGCCCAATGTCGTTTTTTATTGGGGATTGCCACCTGCTATGACCGATATGATAAATATAGGTCACGTGGAGGTAGAGTTCTTGAAGAGCACGAACAATGTATATCAAGGCCCAACTGGGAAGCTGAAGTTATCAATTGTGCAAGCTGATCAGTTACCTTAAAAGGCCCACTTTAATAGTGAGCTCCAGAGTGCAAAGCCATGTTGGAGGATTGTGAGGAGCAATCAGCGAATAGTTCCTGCATACTACAAATACCAACCCATCTGTGTCAACGGATATTTGACCACAAATGCATGTCCCGGGTACCCAAGTGGTGGGGGTTAGGCTGCTGCCGCCCCTTCTGTTGTTTTACACCTTCGTCGTTTGGTCTTCCACAGAGTGAAAAGGTTTAACACAGTTTGTATTCGTGGTCAGTACAGAGAAGAATGATGATTGTACATTTTGAGTTGTGTTACTTGTAAATCATCTCAGGGTGTAAATGCTTTTGCTCTTGAAAAACAGATTGAAGAAATGTACGCGTGTCCATGAAAAATGAGTCATATGGCACATATCTTGTTATTTGATGGATCAAGTGTTGAGACCTGTATTCTTTTGCTCCAGTCTTGCAGTTGCTGCTTTACTAGCTTGTAGTTGTCAAATTTATGGTAAAAAATAATCTCAATTAATGTATTGAACCTTTCTTTCTCCTCCTTCATTCACACCTTATGCTTTGGTGAGTAATGTAATAGGACAAGTAGTGCTATGGATGAGTGACGTTTGATCCATTTTTGGGGTATTTCTATGATTTCATACTGAATTGAGCCTTTGTGCTATGCGTCCTTTTAATGTACTCCCCAAATGTTCTCAATTTACTTTGTTTTCTCACATCGCAAGCCCTATTTTTTCTGATAGATTTTGAAGGTAGATGCTTTAATTGAAACCCTGCTCTCCTCTCTAGAGTACTCTAAGGTCTTCACTCCTTTTTGTTCTAACTAATTTCTCCCCAAGTCATGGATAATACATTTTAAAAAAATAATTTCAATATTAATAAAGTAAAGTTTTGAGTAATTAAATAATTATACATGAAATAAAAAGTATAACCTTTAATTTTTTGTAAATGATAAATGCGGATTATTTAAGTTGTCTCTATGTGATCTATATGTAATTAACATGTCGGCGTAGACAGTGGAGGAGCCAAAAATTCAACTAAGATGTGTCAAAATATATAGATGGAAATTCACTAAGAGGTCAAGAGGAGTTAATATATAGTATATGTATACATAAAATTCTTTTTACCTTGCTAAACAATGTAATTTTCCGCTAAAGGGGTGTTAATTGAGACCCCTTGAATACAGGTGGCTCTGCCACTGACTGTGAATGTAGCCACTAATGATTGTATTAGAATAAGTTGTCTATATTACACTCTTGGGGTACATCGCTTCTCCTAACTTGGCTACACTACCCTTACCGATCAATGCAAATTATCGTATCCTGACTTGTTTGTATTGAGGTCAAGACGATTGATTTAATAAAGAAGTTTAATTAGTCACATACGTTTTTCACACTTATTTTACTTTTATTATAAGTTACAAATATATAGTGAGTTATAACTTACTTAATACATCCTTGTAATTGATATTTCTTAGGTATGTTTCTATTAAGAAAATAAATAAAAATATCAAACTTACTATAAATCAACACCAAAGCTCCACACCACAAATTAATACTAACTAATAAAATTTTGGCTAACCTAGGTAAATAAATATTTTATTTTAGGCATTATAAATATTTTGCCAAGTTTCGTCGTCATCATTATATCAACACCTTCAAAAATCGAATCCATTGCAAACCTTATATTTTTAGATATATTTTGAAGGTTGATAAACTAAAACTCTCCTCTCTTCTGTATATTAAGTGTGAGTCCCTTGGACGACCAATGGTCTAATTTCATACTGAGTTCTTCCTTGTGTGACATGTCCTTTTCGCTCACTTTTCAAATGTTTTTAATTCACTTTGTCTTCTCACAACTTACCTTTCTGTTAAATTTAGGCAGACATTAGGTTTTTGTAACGATCTGACCGGGTTATTATGAGTAGGCCAGTAGTGAAGAGTTCGGGCCAAAACACTTTAAAGATAGTGATTTATTGCTTTGGCTAAGCCATCCTTAGAAAGAATCTGGGCTAGGTGAGGTCTAGGATCATCTAGAATTCAGTGGGGGGTGTTATGTTGAGTTTTGGTTGAGATATTATTGTAGCCAAGGCATTATGGAGTCCATAGGGCCTTTCCAAATCGGATTCGGGTAAGTAGAACTCCCGGAATTTATCTTGCTATGGAAGGTATGTGTTGGGACGTCAAGAGAAGGGGTTGTGTTGTAAAAATGGCCTTTTTCTGGAGTGGGAGTCTCTAATGTCTCGTTGAGCCTACTATAGCGACACTCAGACTGCTATAGCGGACGACGTCCCGCTGTAGTGACGATCAGACCACTAAAACATGGTAAATTTCTGCTATAACGACGCCGCTATAGAGGGATGGCCCGCTATAGCACGGTGAAAAAGGTTTTATGCAGAAACAACCCCAAAATCCTTAGTTTATGCACTTTGTGTTCTTGGACTTGGGAGGGGCAATTTTGGGCAGTTTGCACTCACTTTTCCACGGAATTCTTCGGTAAAGGTAAGAATTTGACTCCCTAACTTTGTACATTGATTCTTAAGCCTTAGAATCTAAATTAATCCTCGTAGGGGAGGGGGGTTTGACATGATTCCATGGTGGAAAAAACTCTAAGTTGGGGAAGATCATGAAATATTGGCTTTATTCCAGAGTTTTTAGGCCATTGTTTGATTGAATGTTGTGTTGTATTTGTTATTTTAGACCAAGAACAAGATAAAGCTTCACAAAGGGTTCAAGGTTCGCGATCAGACTTCTGAAGCAATTTCGTGGCACCTAGATAGGCTAGGTTTTCTTAATTGAGTAGTTAGACCTGTTTTCTACTGCATGACATTTTGTACATTGACGGGAGGTTTCATGCCGAGGCCTTCCGGTACAAAGTTTGTAAGGTTAAAAGTTGTTGTTTATTGTTGTTAGGGGGAGAAAAGATAATAACTAAGGGGTGGTTTCTCTAGGTCTTGATTGTTAATCTTGAGTTTCCTTGTTGGGGTGATTTGGTGTTAATGGTAAGGTTAGTGTTATGAAATTTCTAGGTTATAGCCATTTCTGTGACTTGTGGTAATCAAGGGGAACAAATGTGTGTTCATAAAAAAAGGTCCAATATTTGGCTATTGGTACATGCATACATGTGATGGTTGTATAATTCCGGTTTATGCATGTATGCATGTCTACTGCTTAGTAGTATCATTTGTGAAATGCATGGGTAGGGAGACATATGAAATGACATCACGTAGATAATATCATGTAACAAACTTGTTATTATGACTTGTGGTTTACAAGTTGTATTGTTCATTGTGCTATGTGATTGTGCATGATTTTTTGTGATTGTTAGTTGGCTCGGGTACCAGACTGGTATACTAACTACAGATGGCTTGGGTACTACACAGGTACACTAACTATGGATGGATTGGGTACCATGCTGGTACACTAACTGTGGATGACTCAAGTACCACGCCGGTACACTAACTATGGATGAATCGAGTACCACGTCGGTACACTAACAATTTGGGTTGAGTTTCATGAGAGGACTATGTATGTGCATTTGTGATCATGTGGGACACATTTCATGCATTGGTTGATTCGAAGTATTGTTTGATTTCATGATATTATGACTGAGAGTCTATGTGTCCGTGATTGTTGTTATATGTGATTGGGATGAATTATGGTATTGCGGGTTGTGCATATAAATCCAAGGTAATGGAATTCGGACTGTGTTATACTTGTGATTATAATTTTTTTAACTATTGAGTTGAGTTTAAGGAAACTCAATGCTTTAGTTGTTTTTAAACCGTGTTTCTATTTATCATGATGTTATTGATTTATTGAAATGGTGGTTGTTAAGTTAGACCGATGATTGGGGTCTGGTGTATGGTTAAGTGTGATTGGTCATGATTGTCTAGTATTTTTAGAACTTATTTGATAATGGGGATGTGAGTCAAGTGGGATGAGTTGGTTTAAGGCGCCAGTCTCATATGCCTTGTATTCATGAATATTATGTGGTAGAAGAGTTAGGCTATGATTTGACATTAGTGGTTGTTTTGTATTTGGGAATATCTATGTGATAGTAGGGTTAGGTTATATCTGATATTAGGGTGACATCACATGTAGGATTGGGAAGCCTTAGGGTGACATCACAGGTCGGCTTGGGAAGCCATAGGGTGACATCACAACTAGGTTTGGGAAGCCTTATGATGATATCATCGGTAGGCTTGGGAAGCCTTAGGGTGACATCACAGGTAGACTTGGGAAATGTCATGACCCGAAAATCAAGAATGATAACACTTATCTTATCCCACCAAGACCGGTGTAACACCTCGCATTTGGAAAAGGGAGAAAATATATTTTTGGGTTGTAGGCTGTGTTACGATTCCCATCTACGGACCATAGAAGCTTCTACGGGTCGTAGATGGCAACCATAGGAAGGGGGGAAATAATTTTTTCAAAATAAGTCCAGTACCCTTTGGTTGGTTCATCAGGATGGCCCATCATCCCATGTACGAGTCATAGACATGTCTCGTAAGTGAGTCCCAGACTTGGTAAATTTTTAAGAGGTCAAGTTGGTTTCTACCGTTGGTGTTTACGGGTCCGTAGACAGGACCAAAGGTTAGTCCAATTTCAAGATTTTTGAATCTTTCTATGGTTGACCAGTACGGTTCGTAGAAAGACCTATAGACCGGTAGGCCGAGTCTACAACTTCTTTTTAAAGGGGCTTTTGGGGATTTTTCCTAGTTATTTAATCCTATACTACGTCATTTTGCCTGTTACCCTAAGCCATATATAAAGCTTTAAAGCTCCAAATTACCCATTTTCAACTCATTCTCCTAAATTCCCTAAACTTAACCAAATTCACTCGTCGAGTTCTCTCAAGTCTAAGGAAGAAGAAAAACAACTAAGGTTCATCCAAGTCTCCTATCCTCTATTCTTTTTGGGCTTCTACCATCAAGGTATGTGTGTATTCACCCATGGAGTCCTTTCTTCCATGGGGTCCCCAAGGATTTCAATTTTTCGAATTCAATTTGAAATTGATTCAAGTTAGGGTTTTCAATTCAATCTTAATGGATTTTACTCAATTATGATTTATTATTGTTGATTAAGTCTCCAAATGCACGATTAGTATTAATACATGATAATTGGTCGAAGTTACATTGACCCATGCATGGTCAGATGCCGTAGGTCATCTTCTAACATTACCGACATTTTGGGTTTTCATAAATTTCACATAAGATAAAAGCTCTTTTCATCATCAGAAACAACCAAATTTCCAACCTCTTGCATTGCATTACCATAACGAAAAGAAAAAAGAATGAAAAAAAGAGATTGCACTTGTGGCTCGGGATGAACCTTTATCGGTGGAGAAGAGGAATAGTGGTGGATTCCTATAGAGCATCCAGGAAAAAACAGATTCAATCGGACGACGAAT